CCTTTTCTTCATCATAGCAAAGTAGATGAAGCTATCCTTAAAATTGCAGAAGCAGTCCTAATTGACATAAATATACAACAAAAAATGACAACCTCACTTCCAACCCAGCGCTTAACCAACAATAAAACCAAAGAAGTAATAAAAACTAACATTGTAAATAGTGACAAAGAAGAATATGATGCTATCGATGAAGAAAAGGAGACCAAAGAAGATGACCAGCCAATAAAGAAACCTGACACCTAATTTCCATCTAAATTCACTTTGACAAAGTCAATCTCCATCTAAATTCATTTTGACAAAGTCAATATTTCCCTATATAAACAGCAGAAAGCACTGATAATGATTCATTCGGAATCGAAATATGGCCTTATTTGCAGCATGAATTCGGAAAATAAATTTATTTTGAATTTTAATAAACTAAACGTTCACCAAAAAATTTTAGTGAGAAAAATTGAAAAAAAGATTAGGCAAAAGAGTGTTTAACATGATTCAGTTTTATCTTGATTCAGTTACAAACAATAACTTATAAAAACGCACACACACACATATATATTTATAATTGTATTGTTCCTCCTACTGTTTTATTTTCATTTTTAGTTTTTGTTTTAAAACTGTGGTCAAAGCTACCGTGTTTAATTTTACAAATATCTAACTATGAGCTATTTAAAAAATTGATTTTGACTAATTAAGAACAACTTTTTATTACAGGATATGATTTAATTATTTCAATAATTTAAGTTATTTCATAAGGAAAAACTTTGAATATGAATTCAATTGTTTTTTTTTTAACTTGATAAATTTGATGGTCATTTTTGTAATTAAGTAATTTCTGCTCATTTTTGGTTTAATTTAACTTTATTTCATTGCCTAGCTATACGATTTTATTTTCATTTATGTTGTTATTTTCATGTTGGTATATGTTTTTACATGGTTTTGGTGGCCCTACAAGCTCGTTTGAGCTTCTGTGTCTCCATGTTTTTTTTTGCTGAATAAAATTGAATTGAATTGAATATACATGTATGTATATCTACATGTATGTATGTAAATATATATAACTATAGTATTATTTAGATATCATTCTTTTGACCGCTTTTATTGTTATAAGTGTTTATTTTTAGTGTTTTTATTGCTAGTCAATTTTTATTTATAAAATAACATTTGTTACATTTTGTTGATATGAATGCGGACACTAACTATTCCAAAAGATGTCTTTAATTTTATTCAAGTCGTCGAATATTCAGGTTCTAGATTTAAACAATTTGTTAATGTGCAAAAGAAGTAAATAAAACTCCAGACGCTTTAGTTTGTTCAATGTTTTTCATTGTATGTAGAAAAATATAAATATATAATAAACTTATTCAATTTAAAAGCGTAATACAGTTCAGTAGATAACTCGGTTTCTGCTTTGACTAGACTAAACTAATTTTAACAAATATTTATTTATTCAATCGCTAGTTGAATCAATTTTTATTGAGATTCGTATTTTTTCTTTTTACAATAATTGTTTTGTATATTTTAATTGCCCCAAAAAATTTTCAAAGTTATATTTATTAAATATAAGCTATATTACTTTGTCGCAAAAAACACTAGAGTTTATTTTCAATGTAACCTATATATAGTTACAACTTAAACGCTTTTTTATCTATGCTTCTCAAAATTATAGTTCTGCATTATTGCGGTCCCCGGTCGCCCATCATATTGCCGGCCGCTAAATTCTATATAATGTTGATTTCCCATATATGTATTCTATATATATGACCGCGATGTTCCCGTTAAATTCGTTGCTGGTCAGCGGAACCAAAAAGTTTGAGAAGCACTGATGTAAATCAGAAAAGGTAAAGTGCACGATGGTTGCAGAAAAAATTACACTACTTTAATTAAAGGAAACTTGATCAGAGTTTAATTTAAACAGATTGCATCCAAATATCAACAGTACAGGGTTGTTAATAGAAAAGTAGCCGTAGCGGCACTACAGTAGTACTACTTTTAAAGCTGAAATAAAATCGTTGCCGCTACTTTTGAGTCAAAATTTTCTAATGACCACAAGAGTGCGTATGTGTGTGTGTATGTGTCTTCTTTTTTAACGCACACGTACATGATTTGAGTGAGTTACAGAGGTAACTGACATTTTGATCAAATTCAATTTTTCTAAATTTTTGAATTTATAAGTTGTTTTTCCCATTTCACGAACAGTGATTTCCCATCCGCTAAAATTTCCATTCCAGAAAAATAGGTTTTGCAAATCTCCATGCTCACTTAACTCGATCAAATAGGCTTTGAATGTTGAAAACTGAAAATAATTTTTTTTTTGAAGATTTTAACGGCACTGCAGCTCCCAAGATGGTGCTATAATGTGCCAGTAATTTTAATATTTTTTTCTTAATTTTTATTTTATTTTATTTTTTTGTTCATAATTATGTAGTTATTATTATTACATCTTCAAAATCAAACACAGTCGAAAAGGAAGAATTCGATCAAAATATATCAAGACATCAATCCAGAAAAATGAATGATAATCTTTGACTTAAGTATATTTTAAGAGGTAAGGTTGTAATAGTTTATTCCAGTCTTTTTAAGTTGACGGGTAACAGATTCAATAACCAAACCATAGACCAGAAGTTGACATCAGCGCGAAGAGAGAAAACCCACCTACCGTTCGCCAGTCCCACAAACCAATGACTCTCACTCCAGTGCATTCACTCTACTTCAAAAACGTTTTGACTATTTAAGTTCCTGGTATGTTGCTTGATTTTTCACCATGGAGGCCACCCATAGACGGCATTCGACCCAAAATTGAAAAGATTATAAAGATTAAGGATAGAGTGGTGTGATTCTCTCTTAGCGGCACACGAGCTTACACCATGGTATTTAGCCACTGTAGATTCTTGATGCACCTTGAGAGAAATGCAAAACTGCACAAATCCTCTCGAAGATATTAGAGTTTCCACTATGGTATTCAGCCGGAGCAGATTCTCAACACATCCGGAGCGAACCGTACAGATGTAAAAAAAAACCCCATCAATGGCGTTTGAGCCTCCACCATGGTATTTAGCCATAATAGATTCTTGACACACCTCGAGGGATTTTTTAGCCTCAATCAAGAGAAATGATTAAACCCCCTACAGTATCCGAGTCTCCACCAAAGTGCCTATCCACAGCAGATTCTCGACATACTTTCGGGAAAATGTATATCTTCTCTTTGTCATATCTGAGCCATCAATACGAGGCATGTCCACAGTAAAAAACCTGACACGCCACGCAGGATGATTAATATTTTCCTATTTATGTTGGTGAAATGCACAAAGAGAAAGCCACAGATCAGTAAGATCAGCAAACCAGCCCGGATTCAACTCCCAAGACAGCGCCATTCCCAGCAACTCTAGCCACAACACAATCATCGAATCCAAATTCCCGTCAGTTGTAGAATACAAGTAATTTATATAATTAAGCTTCTTGGTGTTAAAAGTTAATTGGCTCAATTCTCCTAGACCAATGCATCGACACAGCCCAATCAAGAAACCTTCCCTCGACTGCATGATTTCAAGAGCTGTTTCATTGAAAGTTATATCATATCAAAGTAATTAATCTTTTTTAGGTATTCTATCATTGAAATGATATTTTCTTTTATTTTCAAAATGTCAACTAGATTACCAGGCAAGGATAACAAAGTTCTTTTTCTTTTGTTTTATTGCAAATAAATTTATGTTTAATAGTTAATTTATTTTTACAGAATTGACAAATTGGAATTTCTTTTTTATTTAAGAGATAATTGTGAGTGAGATTAGTGTGACCTATCATGATTCTATAAATTTTGTTTACAATAAATCTATTGTTAAATGTATTAATATTTGTTTTTGCAATGTTTGGTTGTATTTGCTGGAGATGTGTTTTTGTTTGATCCCATTCTGTTTGCCATAATGTTATTAGATATTTTACAATGTTTGGTTTTAAATCAGAATGTGGAATCGCAATATCTGTTATGGGGATCTGGTGAGCTTTTATTGCTAACATGTCAACCTTTTCATTGCCAATTAACCCTATATGACTGGAGATCCATACTATTTGGATATTACATTTATTTTGTATTAACTTGTGTATTTTAATTTTTATATTTTTTATAAGTTCATTGTTTAAGGGCTAGTACAGTTGACAAGGAATCTGTCATTATGATATATCTTTTATTATTTTCATTTGTTAGTTGATCTAAAGCTAGATTTATTGCTTGAAGTTCTGCTGTATAAATTGATGTATTATTTGGTAAATGTTGTTGGATATATTGTTTTTCTATAATAACTGCAGCTGTTGTTGAGTCATTAATTTTGGATCCATCAGTGTATATAATTATTTAAGTCTTGTAATGAAATAGAAATTCATTGACTTTTGTTTTAATTATATTTGCGTCTGTTAATTTGTTGTATTTTGTTAGGTAGGCGTTTATTGTTGGTTGGTTTAATCTCCATGGAGGAAAATTTTCTATTGATTTATTTAAAATATTATTGAATATTTTTGTATGATTTTCTATTCGTAAACTGAAAAGTTTAATTGTCTTAGGTTTTTTATTAAAAAGGTTTTTATATATTGATGGGAAAATATATTGGAATGCCGAGTTAATTGTATTATAAATAGTTTTGTAATAATAGTTTAATGGTAGTTTTTATTGGCGTATCATTAAAAGCATTTCCATGGCCAGAACTTGTACACTTACTGCTGGTGAAGTTCTATGGGCACCTAAACATCTTCATGAATCAACAATGATTCATTTATAATAATTTAAATTTATTTTAATTAAATAATTTAAACTTAGAATATCAAACTAATAATAATATAAATAATTTTAATAATTTAATAATTTTTTTCGTAGTATTGCAAATATTTTAGATAATCGATTTAAAATTAAATACGCACTAAGAATTAAGTAGAAAATTTCAGTCAAAATGAGAAGAGAAAAATATTTCTAAAACATTTTTTATATTATATTATATTATATATAGCTCGACAGCAAATTGCGGTAACGATAGCGGTAGCGATTTGGTCGCTATTTTTCATTGAAGTAGCCATAGCGGTTGCGGTGCTACATTTTACTTGCAGTCTTCTTTTTTCTTTCTTGTGCCTTATCCATTCAGAATATTGGCGACCACTTGCAGTAACGCTAACGATATCGGCGCTCCTTTATACGATTAGCGTTAACAACTCAGAAACAGTGATGGTGAAAGCAGTTTGGTTAAAAAATTTTTGAGGTCAAAAACAGTCTTTTAGCTGGAAAATAAATCGTTTTATGTTGCTGTAAACTTTAACGCTTGTCACTAACAACACCAATGTTATGGCTTCATTGATCTCTTTATTTCCAACATCAGTGTTGTAGGTTCCAACGATCGTAAAGTTAACGTTATTCCATAGGTTCAAGATTTCCGATTGATGAGCACAACCGCTTCAATCCACCAATCCTTATATAGCTTCTACAGTAGATTTTTAGTTACAGATACAGATTAGATATTTTTTTAAAATTCTCTATACTATACAATCCAAAGATTACTAATATAGCAAAGATAACAATGATAAAAATAACAAATAATATAGCACAATTTGATCATTCCGGCGGTTACAACAATATGCTAGCAACCATGGGTGAAAGACAACAAACATCCAGACAGATGTGACATGAGACACGATTCAATCAAAAAAATATGTGAAAAGCATTGTGGGGAATCAGAATAATGGTTGCAAATGGAAATGACTCCACACCATTGACTGTCTAAAACGGATTACTCAATTGTTACGAACTTGTACACCCTAAGGCAGTTTACTACAGAAAATGCCATACTGATATTTTTGTTAGTTTCTATAACGAACCTGTTGTTCTGTTGATTTGAATAAAAATGAGGCATTCGAAAGGCTTCGTGCGTGGCTGGAAGAAACAGACATTGAGTTGATAACATTAGAAAACTTAGTAAACAAGGTAGGGTTTTTGGCTTTTATGAAGCACTGAATACACCCTGCAGTTGTGACTGTGACTGTAAGAAATGGTTAAAAAAAAGCTGTTTGAAAGGTATAATGAACATATCTCTTTTGCTGAATTAAAAGGGAAAAAGTTATATTCTGGAAAAAATGGCTTTATACATTTTGAATATCAAATGGTATGAATCCAGAAAAGCAAACCGATAAAAACGAGAACGAGTAGTCATAACTGCTGCAATGCTTTTCATATGTGAAATTTGTCAACAGGAGTATAGCATGAACACATATCCAGATAATTCACAATTTAGCATTGATCGCAGTAGAGGAATGATTCCACAACTGGTTATGTGTTTTTAGAAAATTTGATAATTAACAGAACAAAGGTTACCAATGGTAACAGCATAGTGCAAGCATGCATTTTTATCCATATTATTTGGAATTGGAGTTGATGCTCAAATATTGAATGCTAATCTTAAAGTGTTTGTGTATTTGTATAGAGTAAAATGATGGCACTTATTGTCATCTTGCTTCTACCTCGAATCGTTCAATGTTGACAGAACAGTTACTACCTACAACATTTGCAGATAAGTTTCATAGCTATCAAGTTCTGCAATGGAAAAACAATTATATATATATATATATATATATATATATATATATATATACGTTAATGTTAATGTTTATTCATTAAAAATAGACAAGATATTATCTTTTGAATTCTATTGAAGTTATGAGATGTTGCGTTTCTTTTCAAGATTTCCATATTATTCTTTATTAATTTCTTAATTAAATTTCTAAAAGTCATTTTTTAGCTATTTTATCAATTAATTTATTTACAGACGTTTCGACGAAAATGCGTCATTAATAAAGAAATGTTTAAATAAATTTGTATCTATGGTTTCAAACAAATGTGAAAAAAATGCAAAAATTGAGTAGAGTCAATGTTAGTGGAGAATTTTGTATATTAATCGTATGTTTTACTAAAAGCTTGTAAAGAAGATATATTTTGAGCCAGGGTGTTCACTGTCTGCCTGAAACGTAACAAACAAAAAATCACCAATGGCAACGTGAGTAAAATAGATCAATGCATGCAAAGGTACTGAACCAACGTCGTACGCGCATTATAAAACTAATACAATAAAGCGTGAACCTTTCTTTTTGCTTTCCACGTCAGTATTTAAAATCTATATAAATATCATATATATAAAATAAGATAAGCCTTTGCATTATAAAATGCATGTAGCTTGATAATTAGCATATTGCGCTAGAAGCTAGTTGGCACTTGTGCTTATAAAGGGTAATTAGCATATTACGTGTATGTTCCATTAACCTATCAAAATCCATCCATCATCGACACAGACAGTGGCGGATCTAGAAGGAGGGGCCGGGAGGGGACTGGCTCCCCCACATGAGCGTTATTTGTGTTAAAAGTCGTTGTTTTAACGGAAAAAAGTAGTGTTTTTGAAGGGGAGTGTTTTTGAAGGGGAAATTGACATTATAAGCCCATTAGCAGAAATGTTGGCACCCCAGTGAAAATGTTGGCCCCCGTGAGCACAGAAAAATTGCCGCCCCCCCTATTCAACAAGTTTTTGTCGGAAGTTCTTCCCACCCCTCTGGTCATCAACTTTTCTTTGGAAATCCCACCCGGTCATTAACTTGTCGAAAAATTCTCCCCTAGTCGTCAAATATTAGTTCTGGTCAAAAATATTTCTAAATCTTGGCTCCCTCCGCCAAAGTTGTCTAGATTCACCACTGGGCACAGTCCATTGAATTAGCGTGCTTTAATATCTTTAGATATTTTATTTGTTTATTTTTTAATTTAAGATACGGTCTATAGAAGTCTTCAAACTGACAAAATTTTAGATTTGTGAAACACAATATAAGTCGCGTTTTTGCAAACGTGCCCGAAAAGCCTCTATGATCTATTCATAATTGTGCATTTAAAAAACAGAGCAACACATATAGCAATTGCTTTAAAAACAAAATGTGAACGAATTAGGGGAGCAAAATGTTTACAATTTGTTGTAATTTCGATTATTCCCATATTGATATTACATCATTATTTTTCAACTATTATGGCATTGTTTTTCAATATCAACTAAATGACTAATGTATTTCGTATAATCACAAATAATTAGCTCTTCAAATTTTTCATTTGCCTGGGCAATCATTTTTATACCCGTTGTTTTCACAAAAGCTGTGATACATATAACATATACATATACTCAACAAATAGGTTTAAAGCAAGGTTTAACATAATATGAATATCAAGCATGTAGTTATTTTTTTAACGTATCATATTAACTTCTATTTTCTAATACTTTACAAACATTTATTTATTTTTAGCACGTTATATATTACAGAATTTAACATTCATATTGCTAGAAACATTGTCAAAGAATAGCAATTAAAAACCTTTGTTAAACAAAAATCCTTACAGGTTTAACATAATATGAAATCAAGCATGTAGTTATTTTTTTTAACGTATCATATTAACTTCTATTCTATTTTTTAATACTTTACAAACATTTATTTATATTTAGCACGTAATATATTACAGAATTTAACATTCATATTGCTAGAAACATTGTCAAAGAATAGCAATTAAAAACCTTTGTTAAACAAAAATCCTTACCAGTGCAGCTTTACTGTTTAGATGAATGTTTGAAACGTCTTTCCTATAAGTATCCACGTTTGTGATTGGTACTAACAAAACACCTGGTTTATTTACAATATAATGGTAGTCACATTGGTAGTCAAATGACTTTCTCAATAGAAATTTTTGACGAAATGTTATATCTTCCATTAATTTTGTCAACGATTTGCTGCATAATTTTTCAATTGCCACAGAGTGACGCTTAAGTCGAACAGATTGCAAAATTTCAAAAAAATTGTTATCCTTTTTGTTTCCCTCACGTGTGAGCATATTTTTTGCACTTGTTTTTCCAACACACGATTGAGTTTTTGATTCAAATAGAGTTTCTTGCGATGAAAACAGATTAGGAGAACTATGTTTTCGGGTTTTTATGTTAAAATTTATATTTTGAAACGACAAATCATCAAAAGATGTTGAAGACATATTTTTACAAGTTGAAGTTTTATTAGAAAGAAAATCGTAATTTCCTCTGAGAGAAAAATTTTGTTTCTTCGATATCAATGGAAAATGTAATAATTCACCTACAATATCAAACTTTTCATTATCGATAAGAAAAGACTCTTTGGGGCTATCACCATCACTATCATCACTATCATCGTCATCATATCCATCCTTTAAAAAGTTTTCCCCGAACGTAAAGTCATCTGAACTATTTTCCGTTAAAGATTCTATGGATTTAAGTTTCAAACGTAACTTGACATCCGATAACATTTTTGATGACTCGTTATTAGTTTGATCCATATGCATTTGGTAATTTGTTAACTTTGAGTCTTTTAATATGTCAAAAGTAGCAATATCATTCTGTCTATTGGATGATTTTTTATCGTTGTAAAAATCTTTAGTAACATTATTTTCCGGAATACAAAAACTACATGCAAAACTATCATCAGTTTTTAATTGAGACGAGGTTTCAAAGTATTTATTTTCGGGAGAGCTATTAGATCTTAGTCGGTTATCAATGTTGTTGACACATTTGATCGAAAAATTGTCGTTTTTGTCAAATTTATTGTTGTCATTTATTGTTGTATTAACAATTACATCAGCCTTAAACAACTGTTTTGAGAGGTCGATAAGACTGGTAGAAAGAAATTTCAATTTTTTTTTTTTTTGTAATTTTGAAGACTGTTCGCAACTAGAAGAATAACTTGACAATAAACTACTTTGTTGCTTTATGTTTTTATTGTGAATTTTCAAAGAAGATTTCTGATTATTTCCCATTCGTTTTATGAATATAAGTTTATTTTTGTATATCTCTATCTGATTATTTATATAATTGAAAATACTATAATAAATTATTTTTTTTTACTAAATAAACTTAGCGTTACCCACGTTTAATATATTTTACATTCATTTAACATAAATTAATATAATTAATATAAATAATTAACTAATCGATTGCAAAGTGTCGCTAATAAAAAAATTTAAGTTAATTATATTTAATAGAATTTGTTGATAACATGATTGATTATAAAAATATGAATATAAAATACAAATACAAAAAACAACGGATAAACCAGGCAAAGACTATTTATATTGGATTCTTTAAAAATCCACGCTATATGCTTTACAGCCACAAATATATATATATATATATATATATATATATGTATATAAATATATATGTATATAAATATATATGTATATATATATATATATGTATATATATATATATAGTTTTCAAGAAAATCAACCGCGTTAATATAATTATTATGTTTATACATTAATTTTTCAAGTTTTCTAATTAAAATTTTACTATAATTATTTAATTTATTAAGTAAAAATCTAAAATTATTCTGAATATATATATATATATATATATATATATTGCGTGATGTTGCGTAAATTTTGGAATGAAAATTTTATACAGTATTGAATGAGAATGAATTCTACTGAATTGTTGGCATTAATCGAACTCACTTCAATAACAATGAAGAAAAAAGAAATGACAACAACAAAGATAAAAAATACGACACTAACTATTAACTCACTTTGCCAAAGAACTAACTTAGCTTGGTTTAAAAAAACTTTATAAACCAAACCCACACTGAAGATGAAGTGGGATAAATCGAAATAAGGCGTTATCTGCATGATGAAACAACCGTTTCATTAAATTTTTATGATGAACTTGAATATAATTCTATTTTCAACAAATTTAACAATCTCCAGAAAATTCTGGTAAGGAAAATTGAAGTAACAAACTTTAAATTGATTAATGCCACCATTTTGGTAGAATTCATACAATACTGTATTATATATATATATATGTTGGTAACAGACCATAATTTTTACAATATTCTATAAATTCTACCGAATATTTGGCGTTAATATGTTTGTAGTTCGTTACTTCAATTTTCTCACTAAAATTTTCTGGTGAACGTTAAATTTATTGATTTTTATTTTGAATTTTAATAAACTAAACGTTCACCAAAAAACTTTAGTGAGAAAAATTTAAAAAACGAACTACAAACATATTAACGTAGAATTTATAGAATATTGTAATATATATATATGTATATGTATATATATATATATGTATATATATATATATATATATTTTGGTAACAGACTGTTGTTAACGCAACATTTCAAAAATTCAACATTACTTTCAACATTGTTCAACTTTTTCATATTTCTTTTTAATTTATTAATTTCCGAGAAATTAGACATTTTATTGTTTTTTTTTTTAAATTTTTATTAAATAAATTTGCAAATAGCTATTTCGAGTTATAAATAACTCATCTTCAGTGCATTATATGTAGGTATGTAAGATATTTGATATAAAGGAACAAGTAATTATTAATTTATATAAATTATTTAATTAAATCAGAAAACCAATAGAGTAAATATAATAACTATAGACAATATAAAACGCGATTTTAAAAATTTTTAAAATTTTAACGGCAAGATTGTTTATATTATGGTTGTTAAGGTAAATATCAACGCTCAGCCGAGAAGCGCGAATTAATTTATTTAATTAACTATATATTATTAATATTATTTTGACAATATTTAAAAACATTATTATTATTATTATTGTTAACGTTATTATTATTATTATCATCGCTGTGGTTCTTCTTGCTTCTTGTGAGGATGTTCCATTTGCAAGTGACATTTGCGCTGTGGGTTGTGGCGTTGGTATCTACATTGTTGGCACTGTTGTTGTTGTTATTGTTCATGCTGTTGTTGTTGTTGTTGGTGATGTTGTTGTTAGAGTTGTCACTATTGATGATGTTCCAATTGCAACTGATATTTGCGCTGTGGGTTGTAGCATTGGTATCTACAGCGTTGGCACTGTTGTTGTTGTTGATGTTGAATTTGTCACTATTGGTATGGTTTTTGTTTACATCATCATTGCTTGATATTATTATTTCAAGTGGCACGGACATGGCCCCTTGCCAAACAAATACATATCAGATGGAATTTGTAAAAACAATGTCAACGGAATTTGAACTGAACGTGAACACGTAAACTAATTTTGATTTAACAAGTAAAATGGATCCAGCTGTACAGATAAACAAATCAAGTACAAATTAGAAATTAGATGGGCAGCTGAACTTGGAATCACCGTAGTAACTATCAACTGCTGACATGAAACCGCTCAAGAAGATGGCATTAACAACAGCCGAAGGCAGTTTGTTCCATTCTTCCGCCACTCTATTTGAAAATAAAATTTACAGCAGTCTTCATGGCCAGAACCTATAGTTAGCTTGAAGTTATGACCCCTTGCACAAACGTAGGGACAACATTGGCAGGGAGCTGACTATATTATTATTTTATATATTATTATATAGAATTATTAAGAGGTATTATTCTATATAACAACATAAGGTCAGTTTTTAGACGTCTGTAGACCAGAGATAGCAATTCCAATTTTATCAACTGGTCCTCGTGTTGAAGACCTCTGCAGGTTGTTTTTACACGCGTTGTCATTTTCTGAACCGTTTCAAGCTCCTCTATTAACCGACTCTGTAAGGATTCCATGCTTAGACACCGTACTCCATGTGCGACCTCACCAATGGCTTGTATAAAGTTACAAAAGCTTCGTCAGAAAGGTATTTTAAATTCCTTGCAATGACAACTAAGCATAGAGTTCGCTTTGTTCTGTTTTCACGTTCACTACCACTATTTTGTGAGGTGTATATACTGCGCTGTTAGTCTTTGCGTGATTCCATGGCTATGTAGGATGTTTCAAACTTTTTCGTTGTCAGACTCACTCCCATTTTCATCCAAAAACTCTTTTACTTTATAACCTTGAGTCGCTGTTTGGGACAAAATATTTTGTAGTCCTGCTTCACTTCATTTTTGTGTCTCAGAAAAGCGATGAACCTCATTTAGCTGTAATGATCTTTAAAAACAACATAATAAACCACTAAATGAATCTGTACTGAAAGGACCACAAACATCTGCTGATAGTAGTTCACCTGGTTTATCTGTTGCATGCCAAATTTTAACCGATGTGCTTCACCAGACATGGCTCACAAAATCTTTGTCAAGATGAACTTTGGTGTTAAACTCCTTTTTTACAACATTCTTTATGTGACGTTTATCATGATTTGTTATTTACTGTTGACAGCATATTTATTTAGCCTTTACCCACAGCATTACCAAGATGTGACGTGAATGGACGCCAGCCCATAGACTTTAGAACCGAACCTCTTTAACGGGAGGGCATCTTTCAGGATTTGCCGCCACATCGCTAACAAGTTCGATGTCGCTCCTGAGACCTATGGTCTTAATTTCCCCTTGATCTATATCGTAAAAGATTAAATGCCAAAAAACAATTTAGTTACACAAATTTAACATCAGTTAAACCAAGGTATATAAACAAACCAAATTGATGAAATAACTTTTGAGCAAGTTTTTTAATGTACCACCAAATTTGACACCAGACTAGACCAAAACGAAATCATCAGCTATTTATAACTTTAAAATAAATAACAATTTATAACTTTAAAATAAATAATACGAAAACAATATTAAAAAATTCACATCTGAAGCGCTATCACTGAAAAGATTTTAATTCATAACGTTTATTTTTTTTAAATTCGCCACGCTCCGTACTGGGCCGCGATTGACAGATTAACATTTAAAGTCGGCATTGACAGTGATTGTGAAAAAAACAATGATACAACAGTAATGTGTTACTTCAGGTTTACCAAAAAAAAACTGAAATTAAACTTTCATTGAGTTTTAATGTACACTTTGTTTTCAAACATTTTTTTTAAACTTTATATTTTTATGTGATAAATGGTCATAAGCAAAAAAAAAAAACATTACGAAAACTTTGAATACTCAGCAGCGTAAACACCATTGGTCGAGGCACACAATCGTTTTGCGGTTCCTGGTGGTAACTAACAAAAATTTCATGACGTTTGCATATGACCATTAGAGATTACGCTTAATTTTAAACACATTAGAATGATCATAAATTTTTTATAAGGGATGCCTTTGCTGAAATTCTATGAGGAACATTTGATTAAAACATTTGAACATATCAAATAGCTAGGCAGAGGAAACAACACGATTCGAAAAATATGAATTGAATTTAAATCAAAAGAAGCAAAAGCACATTTTATTTTGTATTCATTAATTTATTCATGTTATTAACAGGGTAGCGATTTTTAATAATATTTTCAAAGCTTTATAAAACATAAATCTATAAAACTTTAGAAAATTCAAAATGAAATATTACGATTTGTAAATTAATTAATTAATCAAACAATCAATTAATTAATTAATGTAAAACATGCTGACACTCTTCTAAACCTAAATAAAAGATCCACTTGAAACTTAATTTCAAAAAATTTCTTTACTCTTCCTTTTTTTTGGCTCTCAGTTTAATCTTTTCTTGAATTCTGTATAGAAAAAAAGTATAAAAATAAATAAAATATAGTAATCAATGAACGACAATTTACTAATATGCACTTTCAATGTAAAGGTATGTTCAATAAAACAATAAAAGGTCATTAACTTCGGAAGAGCTGCTCTTTCTGGCTTCCGCTCAGTCCCTGACGTGCATATAAATAAATTCAATATTGTTCTACAGGATCAACAAATTCATGAAGAACCGCCCTGTAGCTTGTCTTGATGTACCAGATTGGGGTTTTCTTTTTGTTTTAAAATATATATTCGTATCTAGCTTTTCACGTCACTGTTGATTTTAAGGGCAGCGTGATGGCTCAATGGTTAAAGGCGCCTGGTCTTGCTATTGCATTGACTGAGTTCGAATACAAAGAGATCCCCGCCTATCATATGCAATGTGTATGATGCGTGGTTTGCACGCGTATTCATATACGCTGTGTGTGTTTGTCGTTGAAACCTCTGAAGCAAACGCAAAAGAGAGAGAGAAACCTTTAACCTTTATAGTAAGAGGTACCATTCTCTCATCTTTGGTAACTTTTTCAAAGCTGTTTTCTTTTTTTTACTGTGACAACTAAACCAGTACAATTTATATCTTTTCAAATCAAAACAATATAGAATAACTTTCTATTTTGATTCAAGTCAACAAAACACTTTAAACATATACAATTGCATTACACTTTCAAATCCAATTCAAACATTTTATCGGAAACTTTTTTCAAACAATTGTTGTTGCTCGAATACGTTTGATTCCGAATTTTATTTACAACATTTTTTTTTGTAACAACATCACATCCCTTAGTTGACTTCTGGACAGTTTTTCTACAATTTTCCCCACCACTCTTTCGTGAATTGCTATTTCTAGATTTTTTATCCATATTTCCATCTTATTTTTTTGTTGTCCTGGCACTTTTTCAGTATTCTTTCTATCCAATTTTTTTAAAAAAGGTGCTTTCAAAGTTTCGTAAAAATTACTTGACCTAAAAATCAAGGCTATATATAGGTCCTGCGTAGTCAGGTTTCCAGAAGAGAAAGCGAAGTCGTAAATGTGATTTATGCAGTTACTTGGATTAGTTTATTGTTTCTATTACTGTTGGTATTCAAATAAACGTTCAACAAAGTTTGCGTTTAAAGCAGTTGTGTTCATCTATCGGAAATCTTGAACCTAAGGAATAACAAAAACTTGACAATCGTTGGAAGCTGTAACACTGGTATTGAAAATATAAAGATCATTGAAGTTATAACATCGGTGTGGTAGTTACGAGAGTCAAGGGTTACAACATTAGTGTCAGAAGTAAGTTTTTTGATAAATTGAAAATTTTCAGCAATAAAGAATGCTCATCAGTTGAAAAACTCGATACAACTAATCTGAAGAAAGAACTACAAAAGCGAAACCTCAACTCGAAAGGAGCGAAGGCAGTTTTAATAAACCACCTAAGGGACGCTCTAACAAACGAAGGTAACAATCCAGATGAGTTTGACTTCCCGGATCCTTCTACAGAAGAAATAAAAAATTTTTTCGATAAACCCAAAATGATTAGAATAATAGGATCAGCTTATGAAAGAACATCAACTAATGGAGTGTCAACTGAAAAGTACTCTAAAACAAAATTAGATAGCAAATCGGACGAACGAAAAATGCACGTGACCGAACCAGTAACAGCTGTAGAAAATCATGACATAATCCAACTAGCTTATTCAACTACCAACAACTACATTAGCAATCGCAAGTCAATCCTTCCTACGGGTGATTTCGACTGCGATGCGCGTGCTAACTACGACACACGTGATATCTGCTACGCACGTGACAACTGTGATGCACGTGACAACTGTGATGCATGTGTTGACGTGCAGAAAGGTAGTTATCGTGATGATGAAGTTGATGAAGATGATGACGAAGACGACAATTATTTAAATGTCAGTGAAGGTGATGTTAATGCGAATATTCATTCAGGACAAGAATTGATGACAGACGACGATTCAAGTTTTGGGATAATCCTCCCAGCATGTATGTGGAATGGAAGCTTGGTCCTCGTCTACCTGGATGATGATTTCAACGACGGCTTCACTACTGATGAGGATGAGATGTGCATTGCTGCTTCACTGGTAGACAAGAAAGATGTCACCGACGAATCTTACAACATGCATAAAAGATAACCGTCTAGTCATTCTAAAACTCAAGTTATTGAACGATATTTAAATACGTTTGAGTGTCTACTAATGGCATCGATGTGGTTGAAAGTGCTGTCTAAAATAAATGTATGGAATGAAATTCTGCAGGCTAGACAAACCACCCTAAACGTGGAGGTTGTTAATCTACAGCATATAATTAAAAATCTTAGCACTTCATTGTTCTGAAAAAACATTTAAATTAATGTCTATTTTGTATTGCTTGGAAACCTAGTACGAAGATACAATGCTAACAACTTAAATGAGCTTTTTCAATTTCATTGAAAATATTCAACTATGACCGAAGAAGAGCTCAAACAAACATGTGAAGACATTATCCGAAAAGTACAATAACGATGTTGACGAAGAGGAATTGTTCTGGGAAATAATTGATTTGAACAAAATTCAGAAAGAAAATTTTTCAATGAATTTGAAATCACCAACACGCACTTCTTAGCACTGTAGCAAGCCAAAACCAAACAATTATTTTTCCAAATGTGGTAATTGCATTGAGAATCTTCTGCCCCATGCCTGTGACGGTTCTGAAAGCTGAGCGATCGTTAAGTCTTTTGTCAAGAGTAAAAAACTTTTTGCGATCTACAATGAGCCAAGAATGATTGACAGTTTAGGAATGATTGCAACGGAAAACGGTTTAGCAAGATCTATATTCTACCAAAATGTTGACATTAATCAATTTAAAGCTTGTCATTTCAACTTTCCTTACTAAAATTTTCTGGAAATGGTTCAATTTATTAAAAATAGAATTTTTGTCCAAATTCATCATGAAAATTTAATGAAACCGTTGTTATCCAAATTCATCATGCAGATCGGTCTTATTTCGATTTTTCACAAAGCTGGTAGCTGCCATCAAAGATGAACTCAACAAAGCTCAAGACAAAAGAATGAATACTTATAAATACAACTCAAACCTTAAATTTCATAAAAAGTTGACAAATCTAATTAGAACGAATAGTAATGGATTAACGGATCGGTTTATTAACCTCAGTAAACATCCTCTCTCACTGATAAACAAAGAGAATATTCAAATTTAGGATTAAACTGTCATATTTTAATGAAGCCAAACAATATTGAAAAAACAATTGAAAAAAAAAACTGATGATGAAAATAAACGGGGCAGAACGACAAACCAAGATTACAGTGAATTCATTCATTGCGTTGAGCAACAAGCTGAAGCCAAGAAACATAGAGGCAATTTTCAGACTAAAATTCTAACAAATGATCTTAGAACTGCCGCAAAGGAACTGATAAACAATGAAATGAAAATATTGTCATTCATCGTGTAGACAAGTGAAATCAATTTGTGGTCAAACATAAAACTAACTACAACACCAAAGTCGAACACCTACTTAACGAGAGCACAAAATTTCAAGCAACCAAAAAAGACCCACTCCTCACCTAAAGACTAAATTCAAATCAATAATAAAAAAATTAACAAAAACATACCTCAAAAAAATCCAGCTACTCCAAGGCAAATACTTATCTGGATACCTCTATGGCAACATCAAAATGCACAAAAACAAACCCCTTCGACCTATCATCAGCCAAATCTCGACAATAACATAGCTTATAGCCAAATATCCAAACAAAATTCTGACCCCATACAATCCTAATAACAATAATCTCCGGGTCCTCGCGGGAATTTATCAATCTATTGAACACCAACAAACCATCAAATCATATTGCTTCTCTGGATGTTGAATTTTTGTTTACAAATGTTCCCATCCATGACACAATTGATATTATTATCAATAGCGTTTATCACTCAGACATGGTCTTCTTAAAAATACCAAAACACAACTCAAATCTCTTCTCCAAATCTGCACCACCGAAGCACCTTTCCACACCACCACAGGCAAGCTATACAAGCAAAGTGACGGCGTAGCCATATGCTTACCACTCGGTGTCTTGTTCGCAAATTTCTTCTTAAGACATATTGAGAGCAAAACGTTTAGAGACAATCCAGAATTGAAAACAAACATTTAAGCCAGGTATGTTGACGATATCTTTGTCGCATACGATGATCCGGAACAAATCTACCGGTTACTAGCAACCCTGAACATCAAAACTGAATTTCACTACCGAGCACGAAAGTGAAATTTCATTGGCATTTTTAGATGTTTTGGTAGCGCATGACGAACAAAGATTTACAACTTCCGTATACATCAAAGCAACAAAAAAAGGTATTTGTATAAATGGACTAAGCGAATGCATGGAACAATTCAAAATAAGTAAAATAAAATGCTTTGTGAACCGTGCATTCACGCATTCATATCCAACAGAGGATCGCAAATACAATTATATAGATATCCCTAATAGATATCGAAAACCCCAAACAAATCCAACAAAAAATGATTACATCATTATCAACTCGATGCCCTAATACTATCTTTAATACCCACGAAGAACAGAGGAACGACAACAACAAAGATGAAGAATACGACCACAACTAATAACTAACTTTGCTAAAGAACTAACTTTGCTTTGTTTAACCGAACCTGAACTGAAGATGATTTGTGAAAAATCGAAATAAGGCCTTATCTGCATGATGAATTTGGATAAAAACAGTTTCATTAAATTTTCATGATGAACATGGATAATATTTCTATTTTCAAAAAATTTAACAATTTCCAGAAAAAACGTTTAAACGTTCCAGAAAATTCTAGTAAGGAAAATTGAAAATACCAACAATTTGGTATAATTTATATAACACTATATATATATGCAAATATCGTTAAATATTTTTGCCCATTTTGCATTAAATATAAATTAAAACAGCTTCGTGTTGCCGAAATCCTTATTAAAAAATTAATTAATGCAAAATGGGCAAAAATATTTAACGATATTTGCATCAAAGAAAACCTCGTTCCAATATATATATATATATATATATATATATATTTTATGAAAGTCACAAAATGTTTGGTGTTAATTTTTTGTTTAACTTTTTGATTATTCTAACGGTTGATCGTAAATCATTCTCAAGTTTCTTAAGTTCAAAACCAAAATTTTTGTTTATTTTGTGCATGATAGAACAAAAAAGCTTTTTTCAGTAGTCCTATACCATCTTCGGTGCTCGAATTGATACGTTGTGTATGTGCAATTGCAAGTTGTTGATACATTTTTATTTATTATCGGAAGTCTTTGTTCTATGAGTATTGATTCGGCTAGTCGTAAATTATAATAGTTGTTCTTGTAATGTAAGATTTCAACATTGTGGTCCAAGATTTGTCAATAATTTCAGTTTTGTGTTTCTCTTTCATGTGATTTTTTTATAGCGTCAGTTTGTACACGCATCGTGAGCCTTTTCGATAACTTGGTTGTTGTCTTACATGAGAATGATTTACGATCAATCAATCTTCGTTTAGCGTCCAGAGACCCAGTTTCCCAAGGTAGGATGTTGTTTTCTTTGCTATCAATTTTTTGCGCCAAATTTCGTTTACATTTAGTGCTTTCATGTCTTGCTCGCGACCCTAACCAAATGTGTGATAGTTGTTGATGCTTTGCGAAGTACTTCCCTTGCAGTTGCCGAAGGATGTGAATTGCATCAATTGTTGATTTCCCCGCTAGGAAACCAAAAGATAACTTCCGATTGTGATGCACGACGTCAATGATTTTCTCGACAATTTTTAGGGAGTGTTCTAACAGACGTATACCCCGATATGATGAACAGTTCAATAGATCACCTTTGCCTTTGTAAGCAAAATTGTCATGCTAAAGTTCCATTCAGTCGGCATTGAGCAATTTCTCCAGACTTCACGGCAAAGTTGTAGTAACGTTTGGATATCTGCAGTACCAGATGCTTTTATAATGTCATTTGTGAATCCAGAGGGCCCTGCTGCCTTTCCACCCTTCATAGCTTTCAGAGTTTCTGTAAGCTCCTCTACAGTGATGTCTGAAATTGGACCTGCGATGGGTGGAGCGTCAAAGTTGACATTGATGAGATTTGTTTCATTTAACAGACGGTTGAAGTTTTCTTTCCACTGTAGTTTGGTCTCATCTTGTTCATGATTTACGATCAACCGTTAGAAAAATCGAAAAGTTAAACAGGAAGTTAACTAAGTCGAACATCATACACATTGCATATGATAGGCGGGGATCTCTTTGGTATCAAACTAAGTCACTGCAGCAGCAAGACCAGGTGCCTTTAACCATTGAGCCATCACGCCGCAATAATGCCAACAATTCGGAAGAATACTGTAGATATACTACTACAACAACAACAACACACGTTTAGACGACATTTTCCCCAAGATCGGGGGTTGCCGTTTGGCTACCTATGATGAAACCGAAATACCCCTCGACGCCATTCACATCTGTCACTCGCCTCAGTATCACGCAACCCCGCTTTCACTCTGTCCTTCTCCACCTGTTCTCCATCCCAATCGCGGACGACCCCTTCCTATCACTCCTTCAACATCGAACTCCAACGCTCGCCTAATCCCGACCCTTTCATCCCTTCTCAACCCATGCCTATACCACCGCAATCTCGATCTCCTTATCAATGTCACAATGTCCTCATTCAGTCCCATCATCGACATCAGCTCTGTACTACTCCTCCTATCCTTCACTTTAACCCCACACATCATCCTCACCATAGCTCTTTCAGCACTCTGCAGTACACTTTCCTCCTCTCTCCTCAACACCCAAGTTTCATCACCATATACTATCGCTGCTCGCACACATGCTTTATATACCCTCCCTTTCATCTTCACTGACCATTTCTTTCCACACAAAATCCCACCCAGTTCCCTAAATTTCATCCATACTGTATAGTGTATATATACTGTATTTATGTATACATATAAACATGAAAGGCCCGGTATGCATATAAACTTGTCACCCGGTTTGTCTTTCGGCGGCCCTGGTAATAGCCCCACTTGTATACGTCTCAACTATTTGAGTTGTTAAAAAAAGCGAAAGATAAATAACAACAAATAAAAATACCAACAATTTAAACAAATCTTTCACTTTGTTCTTGACAAGATCCAAATTTTTGTTTATTTCAACCTGAAAAAATTCGGACGAATAAATTAAATAAATTCAAGTGTTATTACGGTAACATTGAACAAAGTCCCTCAGCTCGAAGGTAGAATTAAAAGAGTAATTTTCAAAAAAGCCAATTCAAACTTAGCAAATAAATGTGAAACTAAAATAAAAAATACGACATTTTAGGATTTGATATAAAATCTTCAAAGGTGTTCAAAGGAACATGAATGAAATACAAACATCCAAATATTAGGTAACAGAGCAAACCGAATAACGTAAAAATAATTGTTTTAGTCAAATCATTTGCCGGAGAAGAGAAAACAATATTTTAGTTGAAAAATACGCCTCGATTGGTTATCGGATTTCATTGGTAACATCATTAGTGCTTCAATGACCAAAACCAATGAAATTTGCTGGGATTTTTTTGGCTAAATATAAATAGTTAATCTGTAGTAATTTCGTCCAAAAAAATTCAACAAGCAAAGAAATTTTACGCAATTTAAAAAGTACGATTAAAAGTACAGCTCAAACTAAACAACTGTCAAGACTATGTAACAAACAGAAATAGAATTAAAAAATAAATAACACATAGACGGAATAAATGATTTACAAAGAAACGGAATAAATATGTACTTTAGCAAGACAACAATTTGCATGCAAAATATAAAATTTAAATTCAAAAACAATTTTGAATCTTACGAAAAATAAAAATTAAATAAAAAGAAAAATAGGTTTTTTTAAAATAATTATAATGAATAATGATCTACATACCATGTCCATAGTGATTAATGATACACATACGATGTACATTGTACATAGTGATTTCTAACCAATTGATCCAACAGGTTTAATTTAAATTAGATGAAATGTTAACTTGAAAAATTGAATAAATAGGGCGAAACGGCGTAACGGTAAAGTGTGTTTCTCGACAGTATCTAACCTTGTAATAATCTCAATCAATCAATCTTCGTTAGGCGTCCAGAGACCCAGTTCCCCGAGATAGGACATTGTTTTCTTTGCCATCAACATCTTGCGCCAAATTAGACAATCAGTTGTATCCATTTCATTTAAATTTAGAGCTTTCATGTCTTGCTCGATTGTTTGCGACCAGGACTTCTTTGGACGGCCTTTGGGACGTGTGCCAGGTACTTCAACATCTGCAAGAGAAGTTATGGCACTGTTTCCACTTCGTTTGACATGACCAAACCACCGCAGACGGTGTTGCCGGCATTCGTCCTTTATATCGTCTAAACCAGCACGACGCAGGATTTCGGTAGATTTGATGTGGTCCTTCAGATTAATTCGTTGCATCCATCGGAGCATTTTCATGTCGGTTCGTTGAAGTTGTTGTTCCAGTTTAGTTGTCATTGGCTATGTTTCTTCGTGTAACAACACTGGGCGTATCACAGATTTATAAAGTCTTCATCGTAGTGGTATTGGGATGTCACGCCGCATCAATATAGAGGCAAGAAGATGCCATTTATTCCAGCCTGCACGTATGCGTTCTCGAACGGCAGCTTCAGCTGTTACAGTACAATCTAGAACATCCCTTAGATATTGAAACGATGTGACTTTCTTTACCTTAATGGCTTCAAAAACATTGCTATTTCGTATTTGTTGTTTTGGATTGATGCAAGCAGGACAAACAAAATTGGACACTTTATATAAAGTACCAATTATTTTTGAGCAACGTTATTTTTTTATTTTTAATCTCACTTTATCATATTAATCTCATTAGATACTGTGAGTCAATACACAAAAAACGTCTTTACCAACTGAAGTTTAGGTTATAGAGACCAACATTCGAAGCAGACGCAAAGTAATGTACCAACAGGCATTCAAGCTGATCCTAGATGATAATCAGAGCAAGTTGGAAAGCATTACAAGTTGGAAAACCATTCTTTGCATGATAGGCAATAAGTGAAAAAACTTCAAACTTCCAAATACGCTATCGTACTTTCTCGAACAAAATATCAGTCTAACATATATTATTTTACATCAGATGAATGAATTTTAGTAAGCTAAATTTATTAAATTAAGTACAGGATTACAGTAGTAAAGTCGTGTTATCACAAAAGCTACAACAAAGATGGCTACACAGTCCCAACTCTGATGCGCTAAATTCTATTTTCCAAAATGAGGAGATTGAAGATCAGTACATCAGTTTGCTTTAGTCAGGCCACATGACAAATAAGTCGACATCTTTGGTAGGTATCGTCCCAATCATCGAAAAATCTTTTGAGTTTTGTTTGGTAGACTTATTTCAAAGATGATCACTCTGTGACATGATCTGTGAAATGATCTGTGACATGATCGACTCAACCTGATTGTAAAAAAATTCCAAGACAACTAGAGAAGATAGCAGCTACAAAGGCTAGTTGAGCACTTTTAGTATGTAAAAGGTTGCCTAACGTGTATATTCAAAATGGGTTTGTGATCAGAGTTTCCAATGTGCTATTCCTAGCTTCAAACTTTGTACATTTGGGTTTTAATGGCGAAGTGTAAAAAATCAATTGGAACAGAAGAGCCAAAATATAACAAAACGTAATATTAACCTTGTAAACGTCATAGAACTTGGGTATAGTGAAAATGGCTACATCAGCTGATACAAATAAAAATTTACATTAAAACAATTTTATCTTTCAATTATAAAATTTATGTTAAAAAAACAGATAATGTTTGTTATGGTAATTCTGGTTGAGCTAAATTAGTATGAATACTTATAACTTTTCTAACAATAGTATTCAAAAAATTAAAAAAATGCTAGAGTTTATAAAGTTCTAATAAATTTTAAATGCCTTACAGTCAACAATCATTTTAACATTAAAAAAAATATCTTAAAAATTTCACTTTCAATCCCTATGTATATGTCTAACACATCGTGACAAGACATTTAAAACATTTTATGCATTCAAAATATGAAAAACAAACCAATAATGATTAGTGTCATGCCATTGAACCAAGCTCCGATGTATGTAAGTACCCATAGAAACAAACCAAACTGATAAAAATTTTTAGTTTAACAAAACTCTACCAAGTATAAGATATGAAGATGTAAATTTCTTTACATATAAAACATAGAATAAATAACTGGAATATTAAAAAACATTTCGACTCATTACTTTGATAGAATCAACAATATCTTCAATAAGAAGGAGTCTTCTTAATTCAGCAATAAAAGCTACTCCATGGCTCACCACGGACTTGGTCACCCTGTGAACATTCTCTTCGCTCAATCCTATATCGAGATCAAGATACTTCCTACGAGAAATCAATCAAATTTTAATAAACATCAATGCCTGGAACAAAAACACAAAGAAGCTAATATAAGGGCTATCAAAATTCCTAGATAATATTTCCCATTTATGATAATCAATCGAAGCACGAGTGTTTCAAAATCATTTATAAAAATTTAAAAAAAAAAAATTCGCTGTATAAAAGCAAATTTTAATAAACATCAATGCCTGGAACGAAAACACAAAGAAGCTAATATAAGGGCTATCAAAATTCCTAGATAATATTTTCCATTTATGATAATCAATCAAAGCACGAGTGTTTCAAAATCATTTATAAAAATTTTATAAAAAAAAGAAATTCGCTGTGTAAAAGCAAATTTATTGTGCTGTCACCAATAAAAAAAAGTTGGAATATATTACCGTTTTTGCTGATTAAAATTAAATGAATATATAAATTGGATTTTTTTTTTAAATTTTTTAAAAAATGTTCTGAGTTCATGTTGGGTTGGAAAAATAGGCGTTGAGTCAAATATATGAACAAATTATCAATGTCAGAATAAATATTAGTCTAACATCGTTGCAATGCTATCAGATTTTTCATTTTAGCGTTTTTGTATGTTTTTTCTTTTCGATACTCATTTTTTTTATATCTAAAAAAGGAATATATTATAATAAATCAATTTTTTTAGTAAGATTTTCAACAACATGAAGCTGTGTTAATTCGTACTTATTAATTATGTGTGTCGTTCTAGGCTTACAATTTATATTTATATATAAAATATAAATATAAATTATTCTGGAATGGTCAAAAGACGGCCAAAAATGGTGTTGTAATTTTTGTCAGAGAACCGCTAGCCCAAGAAGTACTGGATATTAAAAGGATTAATTCACGTCTCATGGGGATCAAGCTTCGCATAGAAAAGCAAACAATGATTATTTTTTCTGCATACGCACCACAGACAGGCGAATCAGAAGAGATGAAAATTGACTTCTGGACTGCATTCTCCGACACCATCTCAACAATACCAAAATCTGAAACAATCCTGATTGGAGTCGATCTCAATGGCCACGTTGGAGAAAAACAGATGGTTTTGACAACGTACATGGCGGTTTTGGCTATGGAAAACGGAATGAAGATGGCAACCGCATCCTTGAGTTTGCTGAAATTCACGGGTTTTGTTTACTGAACACATATTTTAGAAAGAGGTTGGAACATTTCATAACATACAAAAGTGGACCATCAGCCACGCAAATTGATTTCTTCGCTGTCAAACAACCACACCGAAGGCTGTTCAAAACGTCAAAGTTATACCTGGCGAATCATGTGTCGCCCAACATAGGCTCCTGGTTGTCGAACTGTCAAAACATAAGTCTAAACAAATGCCTCGGAGAATCAAAACGTGGAAGCTGAAAAGCAATATTCATCGAGAAAAATTTCAACAGATTGTCGCCACACAGTTAGACCACCAATCGCAAGCCAGTACAGATTGGAGTACATACAAAACCGTTTTAATGAACGCTGCAACTACAGTTTGTGGGAAAACTGGTACAAAACGTCAGCATGAACGTGACACTTGGTGGTGGAATGACAGTGTACAAAATGCAATAGCTGAAAAGAAAGTTGCATACAGGCAATGGCAAAAATGAAAGTCTGTAGATGACTAAAATTTTCCGTGAGAAGAACAACTATGCAAGACGTCAAGTTGCAATGGCACGGACAGATCAGTGCAGAGAGTGGCTCACTAAAAGCAAAGGTGAACAAATGAAATCTCTGTATCGTATAACAAAACAAGCAAAGCGTACGAAAAAAGACATAGTTGGTGCCTCATGTATCAAAAACGACAAAAATGAGATGGTTCTTGAACAAGATGAGATCAAGCTACAGTGGAGAGAATACTTCAATCGTCTGTTAAACGAAACAAATCCCATCAATGTTAACTTTGACGCTCCACCCATCGAAGGTCCGATTCCAGACATCACTGTAGAGGAGCTTACAGGAGCCCTGAAAGCTATGAAGGATGGAAAGGCAGCAGGGCCCTCTGGACTCACAAATGACATTATCAATGCATCTGGTACTGCAGGTATCCAAAACGTTACTACAACTTTGCCGTGAAATCAGAAGAAATTCCTCAATGCCGACTGAATGGAACTATAGCATGACAGTCCCGCTATACAAAGGCAAAGGTGATCCATTGAATTGTTCATCATATCGGGGTATACGTCTGTTAGAACACTCCCTGAAAATTGTCGAAAAAATCATTGAGAGAAGATTAACGTCGTGCATCACAATCGGAAATTATCAATTTGGTTTTCTAGCGGAAAAATCAACAATTGATGCAATTCACATCCTTCGGCAACTGCAAGAGAAGTACCTCGCAAAGCATCAACAACTATCACACATTTTTGTAGACCTTGAAAAAGCATTTGATCGAGTTCCCCATGAAGCAATCAGGTGGAGTCTACGTCGACAACTCATTCCAGAATATCTTGTTCGACTTGTGATGGAAATGTATACGAATACTAAGACTCTTGTCAGCACAACGGTTGGAAACACAGATGCATTTGACATCGGCGTTGGAGCTCACCAAGGCTCGATTCTCAGTCCACTGTTATTTATAACTGTGATAGAAGAAATCACAAAACCGATACGCACTGGTGAATTTGGAATCTGATGATATCGTTTTAACAGCCACGTCTGAGCAGAATGCAGCACAGATGTTTGAAGATTGGAACACCAGACTCGCCGATCATGGATTCAAAGTCAACATCAGCAAAACCAAAGCAATGAACACTGGTGAACCCATCCAATCCACAGATACTGGACGATGGCCCTGTTCAGTTTGTAAAGCTGGTGTAGGTAACAATTCAATCAAGTGTCAGCAGTGTAACCAGTGGTGTCACAAACGTTGTTCAAAAATAATTGGTACTTTATCTAAAGTGTACAAATTTGTTTGTCCTGCTTGCATCAATCCAAAACAACAAATTCGAAATAGCTCTGTTTTTGAAGCCATTAAAATAGAGAAAGTCACATCGTTTCAATATCTAGGGGATGTTCTGGATTGTACTGGAACAGCTGAAGCACGCATACGTGCAGGCTGGAATAAATGGCATCTTCTTGCCTCTATATTGATGCGGCGTGACATCCCAATACCACTACGATGAAGACTTTATAAATCTGTGATACGTCCGGTGTTGTTATATGGCGCAGAAACATGGCCAATGACAACCAAACTGGAACAACAACTTCAACGAACCGACATGAAAATGCTCCGATGGATGCAACGAATTAGTCTGAAGGACCACATCAAATCTACCAAAATCCTGCGTCGTGCTGGTTTAGACGATATAAAGGACGAATGCCGGCAACACCGTCTGCGGTGGTTTGGTCATGTCAAACGAAGTGGAAACAGTGCCATAACTTCTCTTGCAGATGTTGAAGTACCTGGTGTAACAGTTGGAGCTATAGATGCAGCGCTAGAGAATTAATGATATAATGCCCATGCGCGAGAGACGAGGTGTGGGTATGTAAGCGAGGTGAAAAAAAAACGAGGACGGACATCTTTGTTAACGTTGGGAGGTAGCGAGTTAATTAACGTATTCTGATTTTGCCTTAAATTAAGTTGGTAATTAGTGGTAGATAAAACAACATTTTGTTAGTCGTTCTTCGTAATATCTGTGGGTGGTTAAAATAGACATTTGAAGAACCAAACATATCGAAACGAGAAGAAACCTCGAGAAATAACCCTGGTGCACCGTGTAGTCCGGAGGCCGTCGCTACAACAGCATTCGCACACCCCAGTCACACAACAACAGGGCAGTGACTACATGAAGAAATATACCCACGTATAAACACATTCCATAAATTCTCCAGAAGAAGGCCATTCACCGAGTTGACGGAGAGGTATATAACGTCGGTGTCCACGAAACTAATTGTGAAGGAAGTTGTACAGAACCCCAGGTGTAACACTTACAGACTTGATATAAACTGTTAACTTTGTTATTCAATTTGTTATCCCAGTTGGACTAATTTGTTGTTTAATAAAAGATGAAAACTTAAAACCTTGAGAGTTTTATTCTGTCTACCTCTAACTCACGCTACATTTTTGGTGGCAGCGGTGGGATACACACTCAAAAAAAAAAAGTGTGTATTGACGTAGACAGCAGGTGAGGAGAGAAAGAAGAAAAACAAAAAAAAAGATTTTACAACTGTAAACAACAACCACAGAAATTCAGGTAGAAAATCTCCGAAACTACATTCTAGAATTCTCAAATAAACGAATTAAACAACAATTCAAGTGATTTGTGATAGATTCGGTGTAATAACAGTAATTTTTGAATAATTATGAATAACAGATAAGTAATAAAGAATTAATGAATTAAAGTATAAATTTCATTAAAATAATTAACCTAATAAAAGAAGCTGGTTTGCCGAGTAGTTGCATCAATATTTTTTAAAAAGTAGCACCGAGAAAACAAAACAATAACAATTTAAAATAGTATTCGACAATCGAAGTTGGCTGTTTCGAAAATAAAAGTTGTCTATTTTGGTTGGTACAAATCATGGTGGACAGGCAGCTTAGATCAAGGACAGGCATGTCGGAACCGGAGGAAGGGGTTAACGTTACGGACCCCGTACAAATGATGCAACTGAGGAAGTTGGAGTTGGAGATGCAGATTCTGAAGGAAGCAGCAGATCAAGATAGGCAAATAAAGAAGGAAGCAGCAGAACGAGAGAAAGAGAAAGTTGAACGACAGCTAGAATTAGAAGAAGAAGACAAGAAGTTACGCAGAGAAGCTGAAGTGGGATGAAGGCTCAAGAGAACAAAATCACATTGAAGAGTTCCATAACTGGTATAATCCGAAGATTTAGCCCAATGATGGGGTTATGCCCAACGGATCCCCGGGAGTTACCAGCGTATTTTCAAAGAATTGAAGGAATGTTTGATAGTTATGAAATCACTGAAGATATACGAGCAGAGCTGTTGGTAGCAAATATGGAGACGAAGATGAAAACAGTTTTGAATGAATTAAAAGGGGAAGACTATCAGAATTATGAAGCCATCAAGCAACGTATCATATATTCATGTCGGTTCAGTCCTATGAAACTTCGCGATGAATTTTATCTAGCTAGGAAGAAAAGTGATGAAACATTCCCAGCATTTGCCGCGAAATTACATAGCCACCTTAGATTCTACTTTCAAAGTCGTGGTATCGAGAATTTGGATCGGGCGATGTCATTGTTGGTTGTAGACCGGATGAAAGAATTGCTCCCTAAAGTTTTGTTAGAACATGTGTTGACCCAGGAGGGTGAGAGTTGGTTACAACATGAACAAATGGCTGATGTTCTAGAGACGTTCGAGGCAAACATGAACATGAGGTCGTCAACGGCAGCTGTTTCTGATTATAGGCTACACCACTTGTCGGAACAAAGGGGAAAACACTCACCTTGGCCCTTGAAAGATGATAAGAGGGGACCAATTTCAAAGGTGGGCTGTTACAAGTGTGGTAATGTGGGTCATCTGGCCAAGTTTTGCACTCGGAGGTCTAGCTTGGGGAAACCGGTAAGGAAAATCATGAAATGTCACGTCTCTTCTGCGTCTCGAGGTCTGAATTCACATGACAATGGAGCTATTCAAGCCGACAAATATTTCACAAGACCATTTGTGGACGTTCAAATACAGTCTGGTCCAGTCTGTAAGGCCTTGGTAGACAGTGGGGCAGAGGTTTGTGGAATATCACAAGATTTATGCCAGAGGTTGAAGCTTCCACGAATGGAAAAGATGAGAATCAGGGGATGGAATGGGCAGCCTACAGAAGTTGATGGGACATGGGTGATGTTGTTGCCAAGTTCAAAGGAAGGGGAAAGCATTGCGCCAGCAATCAGGGTGTGGTGTGCGGTGGTTCCTAATGCTGGTGAACAGTTAATCATCACCCCACAGATAGTGGAGTCATCACCCCACAGATAGTGGAGTTGTTGAATATATCAGAACCATACACAATGCCTGCCATGAGGGCCGGTACATTGGTAGGTGATTTACCGGTGATGTCTGAACATGACGAAAGTCTAAAATACTACGACGTTGAAGATCCCGGGTTGAAATGCCAGGGGCGATGCGGACGGCGAGGTGTAGGTCAGGTCGGTGATATTATAAGAAAGTTAGATGACAACAACAGCAACGTTAATAAATTTGTTTATGACAACAACAATGGTGTTGGTAATTCAGATGTCGGTAATGTTGGTAGATCAGATGTCAGAGGTGCAGGCAAATCATATGGCGGTAATGTTGGTAGATCAGATGTCGGGGGTGTAGGTAAATCAGATGTCGGTAATATTGGTAGATCAGATGTCAGAGGTGCAGGCAAATCATATGGCGGTAATGTTGTAGATCAGATGTCGGGGGTGTAGGTAAATCAGATGTCGGTAATATTGGTAGATCAGATGTCAGAGGTACAGGCAAATCATATGGCGGTAATGTTGGTAGATCAGATGTCGGGGGTGTAGGTAAATCAGATGTCGGTAATGTTGGTAGATTAGAAGTCGGTAGAGCCGGGAAATCAGATGTCGGTGGTACACGTAGATCAGATGTCGGTGGAATATGCAAGTCAGATGTTGCTGAGGTAAATAACTCGACTGCTGCTACAAAGAGATCAGAAAATGACAGGCCTAACGAAGATGATGGTGAGGATGAAGGTGGAGGGGCTGAAGATGACGATATGATTGATGAACTGGCGGTGGAAGAAGACAACCCAATAAAATTTAATAATTGTAAGGTTGGTGTGATGGAAGCTGAGGATGGCCAACCAGAGGAGGAAGGTGAAGATGATCATGATCGTGGAGATGGTGATGACGATGGGAGGGAATTTTCAGATGACAACAAAGTTGGTATTGTGGCAGGTCATAACAAAGTTCTAGATAAAGATGATGAGGGTGAAGCCCAGGTGGATGAGGACGAAGGAAGTTGTGGGTTAGAAAAGGACAGGTTCCTCAAAGAACAACAGGAGTGTCAGACACTAAAAGGATGTTGGGAGTGGGCAAAGATGAAAAGGAAGAATTTTTTTATTGAGGACGGCATTTTATTCCATAAGGAGACAGTGCTGGGTCATAAAATAAAACAACTATGTTTACCCAGGGTCAGGATACAAACTGTGATGGAGATGGGACACGATAGACCCTTTGCAGGACACATGGCGGCAAAGGCAACCCGACAACGCATTGCCCTCAGTTTTTGGTTTCCGGAGATGACTGAAAAGATACGAAAGTACTGTGACTCGTGTCGGATTTGTCAACTGAGGAATCCTGTGAAGATATCTGAGAGGGCTCCTATAACTCCTATACCGAGGAAGGATGAGGTGCCATTTTCACATCTAGTGATGGATTGCATCGGGCCAATGATTACTGTGGAGGTTGGACCCAAGCCGAGGTATAATTACGCCCTCGTGGTAATCGATCTTTTCACCAGATGGCCCATGGCCTATCCAATGGAACGTATCAATGCCAGAACTACCTGTGATGTGCTTCTGCAAATTTTCATGACCTACTCCGTGCCCCGGGTCATTAGTTCTGACCGAGGAGCCAACTTCACAAGTGGTTTAACGCAGGCGCTGCTTCAGAATTTGGGATGCAGCCCACGTTTCAACACTCCGGGTCATCCAGAAGCATCCGGAGTCGTCGAAAGATGTAATCGGACATTAAAGAGCATGATCTTCAAGTTGGCACAAGATCATCCGCAGAGCTGGCATAGGATCCTCCCATTCGTTTTGTGGACGCTCCGAGAGAAGCCATCAGAGACTACACAGGTGAGTCCGTTTACGATGTTGTACGGAACACTGCCGAGGGGACCTTTAACGATTCTGAAGGAATCTTGGGTGGGAGAACGGTGCTTACCATTACATCTTGGGAAACAGCCCGATGAATATCTCCGGACACTGCGACATGATTTGGAAGTTGCACATGGTTATGCGGAGAAACATGCAGACAGGGCGCAACTACGGTATACCCATTACTACAACCTGCGCAGTAAAGTTAAGAAATTCCAGTTGGGAGACTTGGTCATTGTTCTTGTTCCATCAACATGGAGAAATAAATGGTGTAACAGGTGGAAAGGGCCTGGAACTATTGTACAAGTTAAATCTCCGCATTCTTATGTGGTAGAATTAGAGGGTCATAAACATCATGTACACGTTAATCATGTACGTAAGTACAATAATCGGATAGAAGAGGTTACCTTAAATAATTGTGTTATTTTGAGGTATGATGAAGAAGACTTTGGTAACCTACATCCTTATGACCCAGAGGTGACCCATGATATAAAGGTGGTACAAACCGAGATGAAGGAGTTAACACACTTGTCGGACGAACAGAGACTTCAGGTGAGGGAGTTGGTCGCGATGTATGCGGGGGTATTCCAGCCACAGGTGGGTTTATATCCAGCAGTACAACACTGTATTCGGGTGGATAAGGAATTTCGACCTCGACGGTTGCGTGCCTACAGAATACCGGAATTGTTGAAGCAGGAAGTTAAGAATCAGCTGGAGATGATGTTAGAAAAGGGCATCATTACGCCCTCAACCAGCGAGATGGCGAGTCCTATCGTATGCATTTTGAAGAAAAATGGTGCTGTTCGGTTGGCAGTTGATTATAGATATGTGAATAAACATTCTGCGGGCGATGGTTTTCCAGCTCCTGATGTTCAGGATGTGCTACAGAAGGTCAGCCGTGCACAATACATTAATAGTTTTGATGCTAGGAGCGGATACTGGCAGATACCGATGGAAGAACAATCAAGATGGCTCACTGCATTTGTTTGTGATTTTGGTTTATATGAATTCACCAGAATGCCATTTGGTTTGAAATCAGCAAGTATAACTTTCGCCAGAGCAATGAAAAGGTTGACAAGTGAAATACAGGATTTTACTGAAGCATATATAGATGACATTGCTGTGTATTCTCAGACGTGGGAGGAACATATCCTCCATTTGAAAAGGTTCCTTGGTATAGTACAGCGGTCCGGTTTGACATTCGATGTTCAAAAATGTCGATTTGCACAAAACAGGGTGCCTTTTTTGGGACACATGGTCGGATCTGGGAAAATTGATGTTGACCCATTGAAGCTCCAGAAACTACAAGACATCCGGCCCCCAACGACGAAGAAGGAGGTGCGGAAGCTGGTTGGCTTCTTTAACTATTTTCAGCATTTTTTGCCGCAGCTGGCCCAAACTTTGAGGAATGTTACAGAGCTTACAAAGGGATCGAACAGTGGGGCGATACAGTGGACGCAGAAACACCAACAAAGCCTAGATGCGGTAATATGTCAATTAAGAAATATTGGAGGGTTACATTCAATTAATTATTCGCTCCCGTTTGGATTAATCACCGACGCAAGTGACCATACCGTGGCTTGTTGTTTGGTACAATCGGATGAACAGGGAAATGAACGTCCCATTGCGTTTGCTAGTAAAAAGTTAAGCGATACCCAACGACGCTGGGCCATTATAGAGAAAGAGGCGTACGCTATCTTGTGGGCACTTCAGAAGTTTCGAGGTTGGATCTGTATGTCAAAGATCTATGTGTATACGGACCACAATCCTAGTCCCAAAGAGTTCGAAACTCATGAGATGGGGGTTGGCTATGCAGGAGTTCAGATATCGAGCTGGTGGTCGAAATGTGGCTGACTTCCTTACTAGGCCGGTAGAGCGAGCCGCAACAGGTAGCATCTGATGCCCACACAGGAGTGAACATTCTACCCCGTAGAATATTCAACTGTTGGGGGGGAGGTGTGTAACAGTTGGAGCTATAGATGCAGCGCTAGAGAATTAATGATATAATGCCCATGCGCGAGAGACGAGGTGTGGGTATGTAAGCGAGGTGAAAAAAAAAACGAGGACGGACATCTTTGTTAACGTTGGGAGGTAGCGAGTTAATTAACGTATTCTGATTTTGCCTTAAATTAAGTTGGTAATTAGTGGTAGATAAAACAACATTTTGTTAGTCGTTCTTCGTAATATCTGTGGGTGGTTAAAATAGACATTTGAAGAACCAAACATATCGAAACGAGAAGAAACCTCGAGAAATAACCCTGGTGCACCGTGTAGTCCGGAGGCCGTCGCTACAACAGCATTCGCACACCCCAGTCACACAACAACAGGGCAGTGACTACATGAAGAAATATACCCACGTATAAACACATTCCATAAATTCTCCAGAAGAAGGCCATTCACCGAGTTGACGGAGAGGTATATAACGTCGGTGTCCACGAAACTAATTGTGAAGGAAGTTGTACAGAACCCCAGGTGTAACACTTACAGACTTGATATAAACTGTTAACTTTGTTATTCAATTTGTTATCCCAGTTGGACTAATTTGTTGTTTAATAAAAGATGAAAACTTAAAACCTTGAGAGTTTTATTCTGTCTACCTCTAACTCACGCTACACCTGGCACACGTCCCAAAGGCCGTCCAAAGAAGTCCTGGTCGCAAACAATCGAGCAAGACATGAAATCTCTAAATTTAAATGAAATGAATACAACTGATCGTCTAATTTGGCGCAAAAAGTTGATGGCAAAGAAAATAACGTCCTACCTCGGGAAACCGGGTCTCTGGACGCAAAACGATGATTGATTGATATAAATAATCATACGCATATGCATCATTGCCTATTTGTTATGACGATTTTCTAAAAATAATGATATTTTATCGGCAAATTACAGGTATATGTGAATTTTGGTTTTTCGATTCGGTAAATAATTTGGTATCAATGATCGGTATTGGTGCTGGAAACTTTCATTACGCTTTCATTTTCGGTACATCGGTTCAAAAACGACCATGTTTGAAAGAAATGGGTGTATTTGATTTATCACACAAAACATATGATCACACGTAATCTTATATACAACAAAACCGGTGCAAATGTGTTACTTGAATAAATAAATAATTTTTCCTTATTAGTTAATAAACATATCATAAAATGACTTAAATCTTAAAATAAATATTTAACCACATTTTAATGGAATTGTCTTTAAACTTCATAAAACTATTTTTCTCAATATCAACTATTAAAATATATCCATATATATCAAAATGTAGGCAAAACATTTGGCGACGCGATGGTGTAATGGCTAAAAAGCCTGGCGCTGCTGATGATGTTGTAGTAACTGAGTTCGAATGCAAAGAGATTCCCGCCTATCGCAATTACAGTTTGTGATGCATTGATTCATATGTAGTCCCATACATTGTGTTTGTTGCTGATACATCTGAAAAATGCTAAAAAGAGATTATTCTCCAAGAAATGTTTCGGATTGAATTTGAATAAATAAATAAGTCAAGAAAACCAATTTGAGCCATTTAAATTCCTCAAAAAGTTTAAGCAAAAACAAAAATCTATGAATGATCACCATAACAAATTGAATTGTAATGTAATACAAGAGTTTAATCTGACAATCATAACATACTTGAACGGATTTCCTTCTCCAGTTTTCTGAACAGCAGCAATGACGTTTTTGTACAGTCTGAAGGTTAAAGTTATTGTCAAGGTAATGAGAAGAAGGTAAGCAACAACGCTGAGGACAGAAAAGAGAGCAAGTGATAAAAGGAATATGAAAGAACTAAAAAGCACAGCTCCTGATAATTTCCAATCTTTCCAATAAATCAAGTCAACAACTGCAAAAATGAAAATTGTAAAATGCATTAATTAAAAAAAAAGTAATAATCATGGTCACACGGCAAAATAGTAAACATCAGAATGGCCCTAACAAAATTGTGAAACACAAGCGCACCGGCCAAATAACACTTAATTTTCCGAAATATCTCTGAAAACTCACAATAGCACCAATCAAATTATGAATATCAAATCAACTACCCACAAAAAACACATTTATCTATTTATCTTTATTAGTTTTTTTTTATTAATTTTTACCTTCGACTCTTAGTTTATAATTAATTAAAAATTCTTAATTAATTAATTAATTAATTCCTCATTTCTAATTTAAATACAAATAATTTGAATTGATTTGTTTCACGTCTCTCCAACTTAGTTCAGTTTTTTAATCAATTAGTTTTCACTTTCTACAACTTGAATTGAACAAATGAAATAATATTCTAACAGCTACTACATCGACTTTAATTCAAATAAATTAATTTTCCTCTTGTGTCAACTCAATATCATGATAATCTCCTACACCCCTTCACAGTTACTCAGTTTCAACCAGCCCGGCAAGGCATTCATTCCAAGATGCACTCGCAACAATCTAAACGTAACACCTCATGATCGATCTCAAACGTCAAAAATTCACAGCAAATTAATTGGTCTGTTGAACACTCGCTCAGCAGCTCGTAAAGCTGCACTCATCCATAATTCAATGTGGGATCATCGTTTGGATGTGCTGTGTTTAACAGAGACATGGATCACATCTGACGACCCTGATGTGACCAAGTGTAAAGTCGCCCCGCCTGGCTTCTCAGTTATTCATCAGCACAGAGGTACTAGTGGTGATAAGAAAGGGGGTGCCATCGGGGCTACATAGACTGTTCAAAAAATACCTCATATTCAACAACCAGTTTTGAACAGCTTGCTGTCAAACTCAATTACATTCAACATTCAGTTCATATTTTCATCATCTACAGGCCACCAGGCCCTATTACATCTGAATTTCTAAATGAGTTTAATAATTTAAGTGAAGGTATCATATCAATAAATATCAGATTTATAATCTGTGGCGATTTTAATGCTCCTTTTCCTCAGGCACCTGTTAATGCTGAATGGTTGGAGATCATTGACGAGTTTAATCTACTACAACACGTTTGTCTTCTACACATAAAAAGGGCAATATCCTCGACCTGCTGATAACACCTAAGGATCAATCAGTCATCGTTTCAACAGTCAAGTCTACCCAACATTTTTTTTCCGATCACAACCTCATCACCACTTCCGTCTACGCTCCTCGACTCAACATTACAACCGACAAGGTTACGTTTAGAAATATTAAAAAAGTAAATTGGTTAAAATTCAATGATGATTTACTCTCCTCATCAATCCTGGAGTATGATAAACAAACCACTCATCAATATGCATCTCACATCAATTCAATAGTTTCCAAGACACTTGAAAAACATGCTCCATTAAAAACAAGGGTTTGCCTTAAAAACCACATATCAAATGACGCCCGTAATGCTAAAAGATACAGGCGTAAAATGGTGCGTGTATACATGAGCAACAAAACTATAATTAATAAACTTAATTATAACAATGCAAAAAACTTGGCCCGGAAGTTGATCCTTAAATCCAGCGTAGATTTGTTGAGAAATGAGCTCGACAAATCGATCAACTTGCGTGCCACTTAGCGCAACCTCAATAGACTTTTACACAAGAATAGCAACGAACCCTGCCTCAACAATTCTGGAACTTCATCATTGGTCAACGACTTCAATAATTATTTCATCAACAAGATCAACAATATTCATAAAAACATAGCACAACAGTTATTGGTTTCATCAGGTGATGCTGATTTGGATAATGTTACTGCCTCCGTCTGTAACCGCTTCGGGTTTTTTGATGATGTCACACCTGATGAGATCAAAAACATCATCAAATCTTCATGCAAAAAAACATCACCAGTGAACTATTTCTCACATCAATATCAGTAGCACGCAACCCCGCTTTCACTCTGTCCTTCTCCACCTGCTCTCTCCTTCAACTTCGAACTCCAACGCTTGCCTAATCCCGACCCTTTCATCCCTTCTCAACACATGTCTATACCACCGCAATTTCGATCTCCTTATCAATGTCACAATGTCCTCATTCAGTCCCATCATTGACATCAGCTTTGTACTACTCCTCCTATCCTTCACTTTAACCCCACACATCATCCTCACCATAGCTCTTTCAGCACTCTGCAGTACACTTTCCTCCTCTCTCCTCAACACCCAAGTTTCATCACCATATACTATCGCTGCTCGCACACATGCTTTACATACCCTCCCTTTCATCTTCACTGACCATTTCTTTCCACACAATACCCCACCCAGTTCCCTAAATTTCATCCATCACACACATCCGCGTTCAGCTTAACCTTTAAATAATCAAAGTTTTCCACTCTTTCAATACCACCATTCAATCCCGTCCTTGCGTCCGTCTTATTAATTACACCATGAACACATTTCTTACATTTGAACGTACCTTCCACCTTTTTCAATGCCCCCCTCACACCACTAAATCTCTAATGCACTCACTTCTCACACCCAATACACAATACCGAGTTAGCCTTCACTCTCCTGTCACATACCCCACAGGGGTCTATTTTACTTATTACTCGCTCCCCACCTTCCCCACTCACCATTACTTTTGTCTTACCAATATTAACTTTTAACCCTTTCTTTCAATAACACTTTTCCTTATGTCAAATTTTCATGCTATCAGCCATCAAGACTAAATCATCTGCATACAAAATCTCAAATAACAACCCCTCCATTATGTTTCCACATACAACATCCATCACAAATGAAAACAAATACGGTGATAACACTGATTCTTGATGCACTCCTACCTTAACACTAAAAGCGTCCGACATCCCCCTTCCGACCCTCACCTTTGTCTTTGCCCCTTCATACAACTGCATCACAGCTTTAACAAGTCTCTCATTCACTCCTTTCTTCCTCAATGCCCATTCAATGACCTTCCTCGGTACTCGATCAAAAGCCTTTTCTAGATCCACAAAACACATGTACAATTTTCGTTTCTTCTTTCTATATGCCCACACTTTCCTTTTGTCCATCCACATACTTTATCTGCCGTAGCCAACACACAGTCCCTATATCTCTCCCAAACATCTTCATCCTTACCCTCTCCCAACTTTCAGCCACCTTCACTTCAAATGCCTTCCTCACCTCTGCATCCTGTAACTTCCATGTCTTTCTCTTTACCACAAGCTTATCTTTCTTTCTCCTCCCCATATCTTTTGATGCCACATCCATCACAAC